CCCCCCCCCCACACCCCCCACCACACGCACACTTACACACTCACAGAGTGCCGTGCGTAGACCGTGTGGTCCGCATTTATTCGTTCTATTGAGGATTCGCGCACTGTTGCGGCGGCCCCGCTCGGTGGCCCGCGCGCTTGTTCCCACGCGTACACAGGAGCAATGTCACACAAAACGAGCACTACCACGGCCCGCGGCGGGGCCCACCGCTCGGACCTACTGTTCGCCATGCTTGTTCTGCGCGCGCGTGTGCTCCAGGGGGGGCCGGGATAACGCCTAGCCATGGTGGAAAATATAGAAGGAAGGTTTACAGGTTTCCTTGACGCAAAGTTGTAAAAATTACAATTTTTAATCGTAAATATACATGAAGTACGTACCGCGACTCAAATCCATTGGCGAGTAAAAAAAAATGTTCTCTCGTAAATTTACAACTTAATTATAATTCGAGTTTACAAGAATTTTGTACATTTACGACGCCATTTTCGACACTGACGCGCGGACTCGAAGGGTGCAAGAGCGAAATGTGCGTGTCCCGGATCTCGTCCCGGAAGGAGGAGCGGCTGGGCTTATCTCGCGTCCACGTACTTGTAGGGGCGGATCTCGCTTCTGCGCGGCCGCACCACCAGCCACCCATAGCTAGAAGTCTAATGTCAATTCCATCTTGAAGCTTTCATCATACGGCAACAAAGTCCGACGCTGTTTGTGCTGTGTTTTCAGACATTTGGAATAGTCCACCGCGGACTTGATAAATTTTTACGTGCTGCGTACGTGAATGTCGTTTTACCATTATATTTGTTTAAATTAAATTTTATTCGTCTTTCTTTAGTTTTTTGTTTGTTATTTTGCTAAACCATTGCTTTATTACCAGACTGATTTCTTGTATTTGACTACGCAGTACCCCCCGCCCCCTCCTCACCTAGCCGAGCGAACCGAAGGCGCGTGAATGCTATGGTCGCTAGACCATTAGTTCGTAAATTTTGTAAGAGTCAACTAACAATCATATGCTTAGGAATGAAATCGTCCTTTAATTCAAATTATCGCCCTTGTTGCGGTTCGATCATCCAAAAAGTGCGTCCGTCATCTGCCCTCGCTAAAGTTCCAAGTCTAGCCAAGGTCCCATAGCGCCTGATAGGTAGGCAACATCTTGCCTATACTGCATGCGTGTGCTGTTGGGTGGCCTACCCAGAGTCTTGCAGGCGCCAAGCTCTCCCAAATGATCGCAGGTTTAAAAAAAAATACAACGCTTGAAATTCACACAATAAGCTGTGGTTTTTTCGTAGCTCTCCCCGCACGCTCTTCTCGCAGTCCCCAGTCGCCCGTCTCTGAATCGAGGTGGCCGATAGAGTCTGACGACGTGGACCCTCCGCGCGCGCTGCTGTGCCCTACAGGCCGTAGTGCAGGTCATTACCATTGGGATACTGCACCGCTGCTGCTGAATGCCGAGCGCGCCACGGT